AATGTACGAAGTATAAATCTAGGAAGTTGGAAGTCATCAAAAATTAAATGGAATGCATAAATATCAATATCCTAGGCATTAGTGAGTTGTAATGGACTGGTATTGGCTATTTTGAATCAAACAACCATAGGATTTACTATTCTGGGAATGACATATTGAAGAGGAATAACATGACAGTCATCTTTCAAAAGAACATTTCATGATCTGTTGTTAAATACAATGCTGTCTGTGATAGGATAGTACCATACGCCTACAAGGAAGGTCAGTTAATATCACTAATAACTATTCAGATTTATGCACCCACCACTAATACTAAAGGTGATGAAATTTGAAGAATTCTACCAATTTCTTCATCCTGAAATGTATCAAAGATGCACTGAGAATTACTGGCAATTGGAATGCAAAATGTGAAGGAACAAGAGGGTACTGAATGGTTTAAAATCAGGAAGGATGTCCAGCAGGGCTGTATTATTTCACCATGCTTACTCAATCCTGGTGTGGTACTTTGGGTTAAAGCACTGGGCCGCAAGGTCACTTTGCACCGTAAGGTCGGTGGTTCAAACTTACCAGTCTCTCTTTGGAAACCCTATACAGGGTCTCTATGAGTTGAAACCAACTTGACAGCACTTAACAACAATAACAACATTCAATCTGTATGCTGAGCTAATTATCTGAGAAACTGGATTTTATGAAGAAGAACATGGCATCAGAATTGGAGGGAGACTCATTAACAACATGCGTTATGTGGATGATACAACCTTACCTGCAGGAGTGAAAGAAGACTTGAAATACTCACTGATAAAGATCAAGTCTACATACAGTAGCCGCTGTATGGATTGTACCTCAACATAAACTCATAAATTCTTAGAACTGAACCAATAAATAACATCATGATAAATGGAGAAAACATTGAAGTTGTCAAAGACTTCATTTTGTTTGGATCAGCAATCAATGCTCATGGAAGCAGCAGTCAAGAATCAGATGGTGCATTGCATTAGGCAAATCTGCTGCACACGACCTCTTTAAAGTGTTCAAAGATGTCAGTTTGAGGGCTAAGGTGCGCCTGAACCAACCCGTTATTTCCATCGCATATGAAAATTGGACAGTGAGTAAGGAAGATGATAGAAGAATTGATGCATTTGGTTTCTGGTGCTGGAGAAGAATATTAAAAGTACCATGGACTGCCAGAAGAACAAACAAATCTGTGCTGGAAGTACAGCCACAATGCTCCTTAGAAGCCAGGATGTTGAAACTTCATCATTCATACTTTAGACATGTTGTCAGGAGGGACCAGTGACTGGAGAAGGACATCATGCTTGGTAAAGTGGAGGGTCAGCAAAAAAATAAAGACCCCCCCAAGGAGATGGATTGGCACAGTAGCCAAAACAATGGTGTCTTACATAACCATTGTAAGGAGGTCCCAGGACCCGGCAGTGTTTCGTACATAGGGTTGCTATGAGTTAAAACTGATGGCACCTACCAATAACAATGCTAAGACTTTTTACTTTGCCCCAAAGCGATGGGGTGAAGTAAATGTTATAGGAAGGAAAGGGGAGTTCATTGCTCTCTTTAGCAGCTTCTGGTCCTGCTACTGTCTCAGTCATCTTTCTCACCCAAGTCAGACTATCATTCTACAGTATAGTTTTCATTCCATCACTGTTCTGCTTAGTTAAAAACCTTTGCTTGCAAACTCTTCATTGTTGTTGTTGTTGTTAGGTGCCATCGAGTCGGTACCGACCCATAGCGACCTTATGCACAGCAGAACGAAACACTGCCCAATCCTGGGACAACCTCACTACTGTTGCCACGCTCAAGTCCATTGACGCTGCCACTTGACCAATCATTGTTGTTGTTGTTGTTAAGTGCCGTCGAGTCGGTTCCGACCCATAGCGACCCTGTACAGGGTTTCCGAGGGTGTAAATCCTTACGGGAGTAGAAAGCCTCATCATTGTAGTAGATGCTTATTATTTGTTTGTTTTAAATTTAATTTCTAAAATTCTAAAACTTTAATACCAAGAAAGACCTTGAGGACATTTATTCCATTTGTGTTAATAATATCCCATGACAAAGCCAGCATTTTCCTCAGTACCACAACAGATCCTGAAGAAATTACTATGAAGTTGAAAGAATGCACCATTAATTCTGCAAATGTCATTAAAGTGTTTGGATTTATTTGTTTTTAATGCATGGGTGGGTGCATATTAATTCACATGTTGCTCTTGTTAGTTTTTGGTGAGTTGATTCCAAGTTGTTGTGACCCTGTGAGTGCAGAGTAAAGTTGCTCACTAGGGGTTTTCAAGGCTGTGACTTTTCTAAAGCAGATTTCAACGTCTGTCTTCTGAGATGCTTCTGTCCTCTCATTTCATAGGTGAGCGCTTAACCATTAGTACCACCCAGGGATATAGTTAAAGCCCATAGGCATATAGTTAAAGCCTAGGTAAATACATTATGTATTTTATGGCTTTTTGTGCTATTCAAAGAAATTATTAAAATTCTAAAAGGATGAAAATGTTCAGCCCCTCTAGAATAAACCAGATCACAATTACAGCCATCTGCTTCAATAAAGATCATTGTAAGCTTGTTTTTTTTTGAAGATCCGGGGGCTTAAAACTTAGAAACAGCTCCTGCTAGCCTTGTAAAAGTTAGGCTAGTGAACATCAGCATAGAAAATATCTCTAAATAATATTGTGCTAAGATGAGAGCTTCTAGTGTCCACCTATGAACCATGACCTGTTTTTGCTTCTGTTCTAGGCACTGTCTGCTCACCTGTGAAGAATGCAAAATAAGGCATGGATTAAGTGAGCCGGGGAGTTCACAGCATTCGACTTCCTAAACTTTGAAGTTTTTCAATGGCTTTTGAAGTTTCTCAAACCTCTGAATTCTTACACATTCAAATTTTCACTTGTACTTTAAAATAACAGACTTATAGCGGCCCAGACACTTTATGGTTCTTTGTTGTTGAAATGCTTTCTGGTGGAATCTCAGAGCTTCCAGCAGAGCATTACATGCTTTTCTATTCTTTATGAACATGTTGGGAGCCCTTAGACACCAAAAAGAAGTTATCCTAATACACCTGCTTGCTTACACATAAGTAAAAGAATTTAGAATCTTCTCTGATTAGCTACATCCTTTTTTTATTGTGCTTTTGGTGGAAGTTTACCTAGTAAATTGGTTTTGTGTTCAATAGTTTACACACAAATTGTTCCAAGACATTGGTTGAGAGTCCCACAATGCATCAGCACTCTCCCCTCTCTGGGCTTCCTGTTGTCATTCACCCAGTTCTCCTGGCAACACCTACCCTCTCACCTTCAAGGCAGGTGTTTCTCTCTGTTAAATTACAGTTGATTGTTCTAAGGAACACATTCCTTCCAGGTGTTGTTTATTTTGTAGGCTAGCCTATCGTTTGGCTGAAAGTCCCTAAGAGTGGCTCCAGTTCCACGTTAGAAGGTTGTGTTAGGGTAATAGTCTTGGGAGCTTCACCAGTCTCTATCAAACAGGACGTCTGATAGAGAATTAAAATTTTGTTTGACATATTTTGCCCATTCTAACTGGAACTTTCTGTTATGTTCCTGGTCAGAGCAGTCAGTAGTGGTAGTTCTAGTGCTCTGGTCTCAGGTTAGATAAAGGAGGTTGTGGTTCATGTGGGCCATTAGTGTTTTGGAATTATTGCTTCCTTGTCTTTGGTTTTCTTCATTCTCCTTTGCTCCAAACCAATTGCCACATCTAAGACAGCCCCTCGCAAGCCTTTAAGACCTCAGATACTGCTCAGCAAACTAGGCTGTAGAACATTATCTTTATACACAATAATATGCCAATTGACCTAGTTGTCTCCCAAGACTATGTACCGTAGCCTTTCAGCTCTGTAGCTCAGTCCCAGAAGGTACTTGATTATATCTAAGAAGTTTCTGTAACTGTGTCCCCTGGGTGCTCAATTACATAGAGAGATGCACAGGCATGCCAGGCTTTCCTGCTCTTCTCAGATACGGCAGTCTTGACGAATGAAAGGTTTATGGCTCTCCTGCACCAAGCAAGTGTACTGGCACCATTTTTCCAACAGCATGTGCTCCATTCATGTCTCTGTGTCACATTTGTGTAATTCTCACAATATTTCAAACTCTTTCATACAGCTATCATATTCTGAAATAGACTGCTACTATTAATAGATACAGTATAATATAAACATAACTTTTATATGCACTGGGAAACTAATAAAATCATTTGATTTGCTTTATGGTGATTGTGGTGAAAGATGCCTGTACATGTCGCACTTACAGATGTGTAGTTAGAAATCTCCACAGCCTTGCCTGTATGTGCACACCAGTCCACTCCTGGAGGACCTCCCACCTCTGGTCAGCAAACAGCTCCTTTGTATCGATTCACAAATTATTGTTATTGCTGCTTTTACAGGATTGTATCAACTCTAAAATTTACTGTCATGGTCCTTTTTTCTTGCATCCCTCACCGTGTCTTCCTTTGCCTTTGTCCCGTTGTGCTGAGCCAAATTTGCATTGTCTCTCCCTTCACCTGAATTAGCTCATGTCTATTTAATTAGTGGAGTCCTAGTGTGGCACTGTGGGTTAATGCACCAGACTGCAAAGCCATTTGAACTGCAAGGTGGGCGGTTCAAGCTCACCAGGTACTCCTCGGAAACCCTATACAGGGTCGCTATGGGTCAGAATCAACTCGATGGCACTTAACAACAACAACAATTTAATTAGTGGTTCTCTGTCTCTCCACCTCCCAACCCTAGCAACCATCAAAATATGTTTCTTTCTGTGTGTAAATGTATTCCTGACTTTCATCCATATTGTGAGATGTTTTGCACATGCATCATTATTCTCTATTGTTCTGTTATATTCCATTGTGTTTCAAGGGGGTTCCAAAAAATTCATGGAAATACGGATTAAAAGATAACATTTTTCCATAAACCTTTTGAAGCCCCTCTTACATACTCATTGATGAACACTTTGGTTGTTTCCATCTTTTTGCTATTGTGAACATGGGTGTGCAGATGTCTATTACGCTAGGATGTATACTAGGAATGATATTTCTGAATCATATGTTTTGGTTTCTAGCTTTTAAAGGAAATACCATGTTGTTTTCCATAGTGGTTGTACCACCATTCATTCTTTTATTCTGCATTTTTCACCTTTTAAGTTATCTGATGGAGGATAGTTAGAAAGCAATGGCCCAAACAAAACTAGCGTGTATGCAAAAAGAAATACAGAGCAAGAAAGAATGTGTCTAATAGATATAGGGAGTGCTTTCTAAAATACATGGAGTTGCAGACCAGTCTGGAACAGCTAGAGCAACAGAAGATATCTCTTCAAAGAAAGATAAGCAGGAAATAATTTTTTTTAAATGGCAGTATGGTTACCTACTACAGGAATAAGCAAGTTGTTCGCCAACAAGGCAAGCAATCAAGTCCCTACAGGACAAACCCCCCTCCAAGACTGAAACTCAAAGGGAACACATGAGCAGGCATGTAAGCTTAATGGTGACCACATTGGTCTATTGGTGAGTGAAAAAAGGAAAAGGCAGCAATGAAGAAATGGTCTGAGTTCAACCACAGTCCTCAGACTCCTGTTGTCCTGGAGATGAGAGAGACAAGAGGAAGAGCTGGTTGGTCCAAAGTGTGGTGAGACCTGGGGACTACTATGCCCATGGACAAGGACACAGAGGGCTAGAGCTGAGAGTGAAACCTCCTGCTGGTATAAAGTGAGGAGAGATGCACAAGAACACCCAAACTTGCAGATAGTATCCATTTAAGCTAGCCTTGATGCCTTGATAATCAGAACTCTACTAGAAGAAGATGAAAAAACAATTTTTGACAAAGGAAATAAGTGTAAATTGCTACAGTTTGGTGAACTTGACCTATACTTATGGATGTAGTAGCTCAAAATACCAACTGAGAGGGAAGGAGTGTTCACATCAAGGATCAATTCTATCCCTTCTGTATGTAGGATAGATAGGAACAGGCAAGTTAGACATTGGCTATCTAAAATGAGGGGGCTATACAGGAGTCATCAAATAAGCATTCAGGTCCCCTCAGGGCAAACCCCCTTCCAAGAATGAGACTCAAGGGGAATATACAAGCGGGCATGTGGTCTTGCTGGTGACTACATTGGTCACTGATAAGGGGAAGTGGGGGAAAAACAGCAATGAAATTATCAGCTAATTCTGACCACATTCAACAGACTCCTGTCAACCCAAATTGAGACATGGTTGGCCAGCAGTATGGCAAGACATGGAGACTCCTGTGACCAGAGACAGGGACATGGCCACAGAGGACTAGAGCAGAGAGTAAAGCATCCAGATGATATGAAGTGAGGGGAGATGCACAAGAACACCCATACTTGCAGATAGTACCCTCTTGACCTGGCTTCAATGGCTGGATGATCAGAACTCAACTAGAAGAAGAAAGAAGAGGAAAAAAAGAGTCATCTGCTACAATTTGATGAACTTGACCTATACTTATGGATGTAGTAGCTCAAAAGAGGGAACAAATCTTTACAGCAAGGATCATTCCCACACCCTCAGTACACAGGGTCGACAGGGATAACATAGACGTTGGCTACCCAAAATCGGTGGGCTACAAAGGCAAGAAGTGACTGGCTTACAAGCTTTCAAGAGGCAGCCTAGTTTCAGAGGGTGTGGGGGAAGGTAGAATCTTCACTGAATGGTTTCCAACCTGTCTGGACAGGA